TGAAAGTGAACAATAAGTAGGTAAATGAAATAAGATGCAATAAAAATGAAACAAATCAAGAGAGTACTTCTGCAGAATAAAAAATATATAGAACGAATAAAAGTGTGCAGCACTTAGTGTATACAATGAGGGATAAAGAAAGCATATTTAAAACCAAATGCAATACTGAACTCATACTAAGAAATAGATATAATCAGAATTTAGACAAAACCAGATTAATACGACAAATATTAACAAGCATACAGAAAATAATTGAGAAATTCAAAACTAAATTTTTAAATTTACTTAGAACATTGATCTTTCATCTTTTCCTTTAATTTTATCCTACTCTTTCTCACAATTCAGTTGCTTCCTTCAGAAATTACTTCTCTATGCGAATTATCACCTTAAAAGTATAGAAACAAATCGCTTCTGTTCATAAATATATTTGAGCACACGTAACAAGAAATATTCCCGAAAACTTTCTTAGACAAAGCACGATAAGCAGCACCATGTTTTAGAAAAATCACAATATTTTTGGATAAGAATTAGTAGTCCAAGAATTGGAGAAGAGCTAAATGAATACAGTTGAGAAATGCGAATCTAAACTTAGAATGTATTTATAGTCCAGTGTCATTTTAACTGATTTGGAAGACTGAGAAAGGCCTCTGAACGATTCCTTCATTACCGCTGAAACAGATTGCATTAGTTATGGTAAATACGCAGGATGAAGCATGGACTCAAAACTGATGGCAGCAAAGATCCAAACCAGATCCACCAGTTTTTCACAATTGGTTTAGAATTAATGGTGTAGCAATGAGATCGAAAAATGATATGAATTTTTTAAGTTGTTTGATGACATACACTGAGCTAGTATTACAATAAAAATTGAAATTCGCAAAAAAAACTAGCTTACCGAATCTTTGTAATCGTTATATTCCTGTTCTGGGATATCAACTATTCCAGCAACATTATCTAAAATAGAAATAGTGATATACTAATTGTCACGTTCCTGAAAATCAAATTTATTCCACATATTAAGGCTACGATATTTTAACAAAAGATATTAACTTTTGATAGTTAATATTTTTGTGTTAAAAATCATGTCCTCCAACAGATAAAACCTGCAAATATTATCGAAAATCCATCATAACACGAATAAAATTTTCATTTAAATTATAAATCACTCACAATTATAGAAAATTAGAAATTAATATCATCCAACCTAATCCTATATTCGGCTTCTACTGATCAACTAAACATAATGAAAAAATGAAGAACTGCTTCTATGTAATACTAACATATAACTTACCAGGGATTTGTTTCCGATGTTCATTTCGTTTAGAGAGCATTGAAAGCAATTCTTTTTTGGATAAAACGGTCGGTAACTGAGGTGGAATTGGAATGCGTCGAAATTCAAGCTCTTCATTCAAATGTCCCAGACGTTTAAAATGCACTTTTCCATTTCGAACATAATTAGACTTTGGTAATCGAATTAACTGTAAAACATAGATTCAAGAAGGAATAAAGAAACTGAATTTTTTAACACTTTTCTCATAAATTATTCTTTGATCGAATTTTGACTAAATTCGATCAAAAGTAACTCTATGGGTATAGTGATCACTTGAATGTTAACTTCAAATGATCACTATACCCATAGAGTTACAATTTGTTATGAATTATTTGTGAAGTTTATATCCTATATCTTAGTAGTAAAATAATCATATGCTTATATAGATTTCCGAAGAAGGCTAATGTTATGAGTTATTAAATTTTTTCATTAGTCCACTCCTCATTAGCCTGTTGAATTTAAGATATTAGCAAAAACATACTGTAACAGAAAAAATGTCTCTAGGAAAAATGAAGAATCGAAGAGTAAGAAAGAAAAGAGAGCAATAAAAATAGAAAAAGTGTGAAGAAAAAGCGGAGATGAACTGTTTTTTTTCCATGGACGGGCTCCAGTGATTGAGTGTATGTGTGAAAGAAATAAGAGGAAAAAGCATGCCGAGGTGGCAAGGCCTATACTTGTATTTTGCTTGCTTAAAGCAAAAAGCATCACAATCGTCATCACCTTTTTCATCCTTCCTTTCTTTTTCTACAGTAGCAAGCAGTGCATCAGCAAAGCATCGAACTCACTCATGTCCAATCGAACTATTATGTAAGTTCTTTTTTCCAAGATTTTTTCGAATTTCATCAACTGAAAATGTTTTATGGGATCATACTTCCAGTTTCAAATTCATAAGAGGACAATTATCGCGTAACTCCATTTTTCTTTTGATTACGTTTTAAAATTTATGTATTAAAATAAAATCTATCACCATAATAAATATTACTTTTCGATTTTCTCAAGTTTCCTTCATGGGAAAATAAGAGAGTAATGCGGAAAAATAGAAAGCAAGAAAGGGAGTATTAAAAAGTCAGCCCGACAGACATCTGTCTAATGTAAGGCAATATCTTAATTCCGAAAAAACAAATATTTATATTACGAAGCTCAGTTTTTTTTATTTTCTGTTATCTCATAAGATAGCGAAACATTATTCACAAGCGCTTCTTCTTTCTTAGGTATAAATAGAAATGATAAGTCAATCATCCAGCCCTAATTCAATTTCAATTTTAACTTGCTTTTAATTCAATTTAGACCAATTCCCATATTCTTTTTCGTAGTCCCGAAAAAGCTCAAATCACTGAGACATTAACATTGGCATGCATAACTACTTTAAACCTAATTATGAAAAACAAATACTCAAGATTTTTTCTACAGTATTCGCTATCACCTTCATATTCGTTTATTGGCTAGTTACGTTTTCTGACATAATTTTTTGAAATATTTTCTTTCTTAGCATTAATGCAGTTAAGTAAAATCCAATCACTTATGGATTTTTCAGAAGACTAATATTGGTGAGTGTATTTTCTTTGCATTTCTTGAATAATTCAAATTAACAACTGCTTAAATTACTGAAGGAATAAAACTGTTTTAAGAAAACCTAAATTCTTGACTCATAGATTCGGTTGGCAAAAATTTTTGGCGAACCATCACTTAATCATTAGATATGAGACTGATATCAATTTTCATTATACTCGTCATTTCATACATTTCATATCAAGTAACAGCATTTGAAACTTTTTAAATTTAAGGTTTCTTAAACTAGTAAAATAAATTATAATTTCAGAGAAGAAGGAAATGAAGATGAAAAACCACCTTATTCATATGTTGCACTAATTACGATGGCAATTAGCGATTCACCTGAACGACGAATGACTCTTTCACAAATCTATCACGTACTATTTTCAAATTTCCTTACTGGATCATTTTACAAATTTGAATATGAATTTAATATATTTACAAGGTATCAAATTTTGCCAACAAATTCACTTTGAATTATAAACCCGAGATTCTCGGCGATATCTCTTAATTTCTTCCGCAATTCTCATATCTTTCCAGAATTTCAAAAGCAAGATCTTATCTTTCAAAATACAAACACTAGACTTGAATAGATTTAATATTCGAGTTTCAAACACAGAATGACTAATACCTATTAAAACTTTATCCCTTTCCCATGACAAAAAACTATTCACATGTCATATAAAAAGAAAAAGAGTAGTAGAGAAGTCCGATATGAATCAACCTGGATGAGAAAAGAACTATAACCATGAACCTTTCGTCCTTTCTCTTACAGTACATTGATGCTCGTTTTCCATACTACCGTAACTGTGATCCAAAAAGACGTCAAGGATGGCAGAATAGCATCAGGCATAATCTGTCCTTAAACGACTGCTTTATCAAGAAGGCGCGTGATGGCATTGGACCGGCAAATGATCGTAAGGGAAATTTCTGGACGTTATCACCAGATAGTGTCAATATGTTTGATAATGGGAATTTCAAGAGGAGGTATAAATTCATGGTTATAGTTTTTGAATATTATTAACTTCTATTATAGCAAAGAAATAGTCTACAAGTGGTCTTCATCAGGGCCTTTCACGAATATTCACTGATAAAATTAATTTCAACATGCTTTAAAATAAAATTTATGTAAGGTGCAGAAATAGTACTATATGTATAGCTCCGAAATTTTTAAGCGAACAAAACTGTTAATTCGAATTAGTCTTGTGAGCTGAATTATTCCAAACTAATAATAACCATTGGGTAGTCGCGCAATTTACTCGTCATAATGAATGATGCACAGTCTTAGTCATTCTAAAGCAACATTTTGCGAAATCAGTAGAATTTAAAGAAATTGCCTTTTTCTTTTTTTCTTTCACTCTCTAACAACTAAATACAAAAGGATGATCATATGTGAAACGTTAAAAAAGTGATTTTAAAGGCCGTCAGAAAAAAGAATGAAAGAGGCGCCAGCACGAAGTCGATTAACTTTTGCTCAGACAACTGATTCATGCAAAAGCACCATTCGATGACCACAAGAGCTTTGCAACATCATTTTTACATCCTTCGTGTTTCATTTCCTAAGTGTCCAGTATTTTCTCAAGCATATTGCTCCAAAAGATTTCAGTTGTAAAGACGGGAGAAATGGAATACCTTCCATAATGGAATTCATAGCCATGTGTGTTACGATCTAAGACTTGTAAATTTCTTAAGTACTGCAATAAATAAAATCTCTTTTTGCAGGCGACGAATGAGGCGTGCGACAAGATGCACTGGCGCAGAAGACAAAACGTTGAATTTACAACCCTGGTTCTTACAGTATATGCAAAGACAGGCGCAACAACAAGTATTTTCATCTATAAGCTAAGGAAACGAAAAAAAAACATTAATTTAGACTTATAAATTCACAACTTGTTTTAAGTTTATGTGATCTATTAATATTTATGAACTTAGTTGACTATATTTGGCAAAATTATACAAACTGAAAGTAATGGATAAATGGCTAACTGCCAATAGAGTTTTTGAAAGACTGTTAATGTCTTTGAAGGTATTTAGAGTCAAATATCAATTTATTATTCAAGAAAAACTATGAAAACCTCTAATATTGAATATAAATTCAAAAATTTCAAATTTCGTCTCTCTTTTAAATAGAAAAGAAAAAATATTTTGTAAAAAAAATATTTTGTAATATAAGCTACTAGAAATAAGACTTGGTTTTGAGTACTACTGGCATCATTACTCACAATAAAATTTGTTTCAGCTTTTGGTTCACCCTCCGACAATGTTCCATTTACCGGACAACTATGGACCAACAGGAAACATTTGTTGGGCTACTCCACCAGCACAAATCATGGAACAAAAGACTATATTACATAGCAGTCCACCCGTACTGCCTCCAACTATTCATCCATCACCAACAATTATTTATCGAAGTTCTGACGAAGTTCCAGGAGCTTGGACAAACACACTTATTCAACAACAGCAAGAGCAATTGCTTCCACCCATGCAAATATTAGAACATCCACCTAGTACCACCTATGAAAAACTGGACGAATATCCATCTTAAATCCATATCTTGCAACGTTACCAAAGAGAAATGCCAAAAAGAATGCTAGAGATATACAGAATTTCCGTGCAGCTGCTATTTTTATCTTTTTTATTAAAATTTATATAAACTAACAGTGATGGATAAATTGTTGATATACATCAAAGTATTTAGAGTTAAATATGAATATGCCTGGATGTGCCTATATGAAGATTCCTGATATAAAAGATTTGAGACTTTAAGTTTCGTTCATTCCTGTCAATAAGGTTGTAAATTTTGTAAAAAAAAAAAACAAAAATAAAGATTGTTATCACAGAATATAAGCTAGTGGTTTGTCTGTAATGGTTTTTCAAACTAAGGCTTTAGAACTCTTAGTTCAGACTTTACTCAGAACCGGGAAATAAACGATATGATTTGTAACATTAATATCATCATTCTTCTTTCTCACTCTAATTACGATGTGGAAACCGGGACGGAGGAGGGAGTCTTCATTTTCAAATATGATCAAGTAGTAAAGATGCGTTAGTCTTCTCTTCGTGACGTACTGTAAGCTTAACATTAAACTTCTGTAGATTACAGAAAAGAAAAAGGCCTTTTTGAACTGTCGCCAATATAATACTATGGTTTCTTACAAGAGTTCCACTTAATAATAGCACTTCTCGTTTGGCTTCAGGCCAAAAATTTATTGATTTTAGAAGAAATTTTCATAAAAAAAATTTTCCATAAATCTTACCTGCGAATTGATCAACAACTTTTCACATTCATTTTTGATAATCTGCAAAAAAAAGTACCGCTAATTTGTAAGCATGCAAGCAATGAGGATATAAAGTTTTTTATAAATTTATAAAGTTTTTTTTTATATAAAATGATTTTTTGAAGTATCCATATATTGGCAGCATCATTTCCGACTTAACTGTTTGCAAAAAGAAAGTTGAAACATGGAAAAAATACCGAAATGTTTTTTGCCCCCTCTGTAAGTTCTTCAATTTGCTTTCTGAATTCCTTTATTTCAGCCTGAAAAAGAGAGATTAGTTGACTGAATATCTCCGAAAAGTGACTAGCAGTGATGCTGACGCTATGTTTAAATCATATTTCACTTTCCAGAACTATGTGCTATGTTTTAGCAGAAGTACAAATCAATTAAACACTGTTTTTATTAAAATTACTCGATTGGAAAGAACTGCGTTTTAGCAGAATTTGAAGAATCGTAAAAGTAAGGTAAATAATAAATAATATACCTGACAATGAAAAAAACGACTTTGGAAATTGATATCTGAAAGTGACTAAAAAATTAAACATTTTTATTGTTAAGAAATTCGATCTACTAAGCAATGCATGCACTTTATAGATAAAATTCTAATGCTAGAAGAGATAATAGTAAGACTTTTGTTGTGAGGATGGTAGAAGTGATTAAAAAATAGCATTGAAAAAAAGAAGATAAAACATTTCCATCAATTTTGATTCACATATATTGAAAGAAATCTAAAGTTACCTTTTCCGTCATTAAATTGGTTTTTATCGATTGTTACTCCAGCCAAATAATTTTTTAACGATTTCTGTAATATTAACTTATAGGAAGAAACGGATACTTTTACGAAATAGAACAATTTACATTTATGTTGTAGGGATTCCCGAACTTTTATTTTTAGTTTCATGGAACATGCATACCTAGTAAACAGCATCAAGAATCCTTAACAACATCATTTTAACTATTATGAAGCTTGAATTAAATGCGATATACAAGTGACAAAGTTAAAATATTATCCAGCATGTAAGCTTTAAAAAGAACTAAAAAAGTAGTTGGAATCGCCAAATCTTAGTCACAATAGATTGGATGGGAAAATCTGATTGTATAATGCATCTCTTTCTAGAAATCTTTCACGTTTTCCCTGCCATAAACAAGTGAACAATGGAAACAACAGTAATGATATGAGTGAAGTACCAACTGCGAAACAAGTAAGATTTTATTTAGATGTACCAAAACTTTATTGTTCGAATCTTACTCAAACATAAATATAGGTTTGATTCGAACAATCTTCTGCAAGATTTCAGGGAGCAAGCTGCAGAAGCATTCATTTCAATTTTTCCTTTAGCTATTTATTTACTAAAATATAGGTATCCTCTTCGAACAGAAAAAGAACTATGTGTCATACTTATAAATCGTTACAAATTATGCAAATATTCTTACCTTACAAACTAACCATTGAGCTTCAAGTTTTTCATATCTTTCACTGGCTTCTAAATAAAATAAAATATTTGTTATTAACATTATGAACAGACGTTTTGCAAATGCTGCAATAAAAAGACAGTATCACTGTCTTTTTCAGTTCATTTCGACATTCTCTTAGAAGTTTCTATCAAGCACATACCCGTGATAGAAACATATTTTAAAAGCATGAGCTAAATTAAATGGAAAATAGAAAGGAACCGTTAAATCAACTTAACAATCATAATTATAAGATAATGAACTCGCTTGACGTCAAATAAGATTCAGTGACACAAAAATCTGGGATCTCAATGTATAAAATATTCCAAGTCCAAGCTTATTAATTACTATCACCGTATTAGGCATTTTTGGAATCTTTTCTTTGGAACACTCGGAATTAGCAATTGCTTACCCAACAAAATTTGATTGTATTTGTTACGCATATCACTCAATAATTCTTCGGCTCGATGGTTCCGCTCCATTAATACTGTAAAAAAGCGATAACAATAAAGGAAACTTGAAAAAGTACTTGAAGTGTTATGTAATAATTATGTCTTAACAAATTAAAAGAAATAATAAAAAATTTTTCTAAACATACATTAAGTCGATCTCGTTCAGATTTTGGCTTAATTTTATAGTACTGTAAATTAGGTAAAGGAATGACGAAACAATGCATAAATTCCAAATTGTTAAGATGATTGCCTCCGGTAACTACAATGATAACCAATCTACGGAATAGCTCATTATCGAAAAAAAAAGCATGTCTTCTATCAATCCTTTCCATGTTTTGGCCATCCAAATCTCAATCTACAAACTTTAGTCTCCAAAATTCAGACATTAGCTAACTAACCAATCAAATATGCTTTTAAATCAGCTAACAACTGCATATGCACAATATCCGAAGCTATTCCTTAAAAGCCTTGTGCAATAAAATACAGATTAATTTGGTCATTCCTCTCAAGAAAAGATAGAATAGCGATATTACCCTAATAAAATATTAAAAAAGAACGCTAAATATCTTTTTTAATTGATAAAACTAAAGGAAAAAAGACTTCGCTCGTTTTCTTTAATTTTATATCTCAATGAAGTAAACGAACATTTTGTAAACATGCCTTTTACTTAATACCCTAAAATACAAAAAATTAAACTTACACTGCAATTGTGCACCCAATCCACTTGAATGTACCATTAATTTCGAATATTTGTCAGACAAATGAGCATAGTTTGAATGATATTCCTTGTACTGAGTGACATAAAATATTACAAATATAACTGATAAAACACCCAAAATAAGGCGTGACCATAACACTTTACGCAAATTCATGCCATATTTGCGACGCTGGAATCATCAATTAAACGAATAAGCAGAACTATTTGTTATACATGGAAATCCTGCAAGAACGTCATACGTTTAATTATTAAACTATTCAATTGGAAATTTGATCAAATTACACATTTTTTATAACTCACAGTTAAATGATTTAATTTAAATGGTTCGCATAGCTAAGCAAAAAAAAGATTAAATCCTATAATTTCTCGCGGACATAAATTAACTTCCAGTGAAATATCTGGAGATATGAGGTAACACATGAATTTACGGTTTCTGTATGATACAAATCCTATGACTGACTTGAATATAATTGGAAAAAAAAACACTTTTTATACTTCAATTCAAACAAACATAGAAGTAACAGGAAAAAAAAGAAAGAATTCGGAGCCGAAGAGATTACGCGAATGAAAAGACTGAGGGATAGAGAGCTGCAACTCCTGAAATGTTTGAATGAGTGCCAAGTGTGAGATTGATGCTCATGTTTGCTATCATATGGGATCTCTGACGCTGCTAATATGCACTCTCCGCGGCATATGCTAGAGAGTAGACGGAGGAGAGGTTACGAAATAATATACGATGTTCGGCAAAGCAACATGAGGAACAGCTGCATGTTGAGAGAGGAAGAAGAATAAAAAGGAATGAAGCGAGAGAGTGGTCGATTTGTGGTGGTCCATTGAAGGAAGGCCAGTTATGATGGTCGACGTAGCGGTTTTTTTATTTAGTTGACTTGAATTTGAGAGAGTTACCATGTTATAGGATGAGCCTAGCAAGGAGCTTGGCTAATTTATGATCAGCCAACGTTGATGATGTTTAGGATCATAGAGTAACAACGGTCAATGTTGTATAATCGTTTCAGTCATCATTCATGTGCATCTATTTCAAGGTTGTCATAACGTACGAGTTTCATTCTCCTCAATAACGCTCAATCATTCTCATTGTTAGTTAGCACAAGAAGAGCTGCTCAGCATGAGATTTATTAAAAGATATATTAATATATTGGTAGTTGGGCAGAATGATTTCAAAGAAAAGTTTGATGTTAAGAGAAGAGGTTTGTTCTGTCCGCATTCAGCACTGTATTTTGTTGTCAATTTTTTCGCAGTTATTTTAGTGCTTACGATTACCTTTTCATAGTTATCGTTGTTGCTTATTACTAATTTTATTTAATAACTAACTGCATACAAAGAAATAATCCAATGACTGTTTAAATTTCATCGTAGAATAAAGATCGTACTTTTTTACTTTTAATATTAGCTAACAAATGTTAGCGAAATGCATGGAATGCTGCGTGAAATTTTTGCATTATCGCTGGGATAATTTATAGCAGGTAATCTTTGTGCTTTTATATTTGATTCATTGGATTATTTGTAGAAAGGGAGCTGAAATAATATTAGTTTTACTATTTTGTCAGTTGATTCTCTTTTTATGTTCTAGCCAGAATTCAAGAAGCATTCACAGAACTTGGCTAAACCTCGTGGACATTTTGTAAGGAGAATATTTATGGTTGAGAGTGGAAATTATTTTAATAATGATAAGAGTACAATGTCAGTTGTAAATTGGCATTGTATTCTTACTACCATTCGAGATTTTCTTCGTTACTGGAAAGTAATACCATTTTCTGTCGGTTATTTTGAAATCTGGAAGATTGCTTTGCTTATAAGAATATTGTGGTTTTAAATTATTTCGCCATAAATGTCTGTTTGTTTTCCACTGCGATATTAGCAGTAATATTTATAACCCATGATTTTAGTTGAAACAATATCTTATTCCAAATTGATTGGGTGGAGGAGTAACCGTTGCACAATTCGTAATTTGATCCATTACTTTTTTAAGATTACTAAGTTTAAGATGCATTTGTAAGTTGTAGGCACTATCAGTATTGTCTTTTATATTGATGACCATTAATTTATACGACAAATCCTTTTTAAAGATGCGTGGTATTTATTTAAAGTGAGCTGTTATATTTTCCAAAAATATCCAGTTGAAGTTGAATTATATTTGTTTTACAGAACTTTTAGATCTAAAGAGACTTAGATAATACTTTACATGTTTTATATTGGTGTTTGAGGTTCGGATTTGGAAGCATTATAAGCAGCGCATATTTCTTTTTTTTTACTATCGTCAAGGAAACAATATTGGATTCACTTATACAAGCTTCATTGTTCTATTATATGGTCCCAGTTCAAAAGAAAGTATTCAAGAAAATATACTAGGACTTATCACAATGCAAGATAAGATATATTATCTTTCTTAGCCATAATTTTCACCCGCTAATCCTGTTGCTGAATTTCTTTTTCGAATTTCCAAAGTCAGCTGTATATGTCTTGACAGCAGTGGTCATTACACGGCGATTCTTGTAAGTATATTGTATGCAGTGTGCTAATTTAGAAAACGAATAGTAATGAAAGAAACTATTACAAATGGTCGATCAACTTCTGAAATGAGAATATGTTTTGGTCACAAATGATCGACAAAAAATAGTTTATAGATGGCTGAGATCTGAAAGGCTGTCGCATACTAATCACTCATTCTCCATAACAACCAGCGCTTTGACCCGCTACTACTCGGTATATCGTCTCTTCATCTGTGTGATATAGACATTTGGATTTTACTAGGATTACGATCAGCTTTGATTTTTGGTAAAACTGATGTAAAAGATTTCATAAAAAACAGCAACAAGTAAGAGTAATAATAGTTTACATTTTATTTGGACCCATTTGATACGCGTTGTTTAAACATGATTTTCAGCTATTTTACAGCCATTCTGAAACTAGATATTGGACTTTGTGTCAGTTTAAAATGGAATGTACATGTGTTAACTGTGCAAAAATATATGCGGAAACAAATGCATTATAGAAGAAATTGTGATTCGCGGGGACTTTGTATTTTTTTTATTGCATGAATAATTTTCACATGAGCACCTAGTGAAATCGAACGTCGTGCAGATATGGATATTATTTGTTGTAAGCAAATGCAAAAAAAACAGCTTATGTTTTACAGAAAAATACCATACACATGCGTGAATATATGATTGAACGAGCTCGATGAGCAGTAGTGGAGGTGTATTGGCTGACCGTAATCGACTTTCATCTCAATCATCAACATCAACAACTTGTCGTAATTCGCTAATTCCTCCAGAAAACGTTATCAACGAATCGGAATTTCCATCCTTAGGAGTGCGCTCCTCACCGTCCTCAACGTCCTCTGCATTTAATTCCCTGCCGACCACTAGTAATTACTCCTCTTCACCACCTGTACCACAAAATCATCTTTATTCAAAAGACGTCTATAATGCTCTACAGCGAGCCCCTTACGGTAAGTTATTTTATTCAAAAAAAGCATCCAATAATTAGAGGACGACAATGTCTCATAACCGTCTTTACTGAAAGGTAGGTTTCAACGAATAGCCGGGTATCGATAACTCTTTAGCTGACCTACTTGTAAACATTCGTAAAGCAATGCAATGACCAGGGACAGATAAACTACTAGAAATTGCATATTGATGACAACGGAGTTATTTTACTGATTCGAATAATCCTGCAAGGAGTAATGCTTGAAAGATAAAACGTTCATTTTTCTATGGTTGCTAAACTATGTCAATTACCTTTTAATTGGAATACGATACAAATTGAACCTTATATATTCACATTTCAATGCGTTGTAATGAAATCATATTTTTCTCACTCAGGTGAAAGACTATTTTATTTCATTTTGGAATTTTTTGTTTATTCTGTTACTTACTATGTCAAGATATAAGTCAGAATTTCTTTTTCGTTAGTCAGTGGTGCATTTGTGTGGTATATAAACTAAAGCTGTGAATTAGATCCATCTCTAAATATTTTCTAATTTTACTAATAAAATTCATTTAGATTAGAGCGGAAGGACTCCATCATCAAAGAATTTGATGTGGAACTTGGGTTCAACTAGAAATTTTTTCTGTATTAGGGAAATAAATTTCAGTTTGGATTTAGAAAGACTAGACTTATTGGTGACGTGAAGATCTCAATAAATAAGCTACCTTTAAATGCTTTATATGTCCTTGCCTGCGTTTAGAACTTTTTTAAAATCAAGCACTGTACGACAATTATCTCCCTTAGAACGATATCTCTTTGTTGGTTGTCATTGATTCTTTAGTTAATTTAAGAGATTTTATGCAGCTATGTCTCGGCATCCGAATTTTCTCAGAATTCAGATCTCAGATAAAAATTAACTGAGTTGGAAATGATTAGGATGTCTGCATCTTGACTTAGCTGTGATAATGGGAAGGGAAAAGAGGTTTACTCACAAATTGATTAGAGTTTCAAAAAAATCAATGTCATACGTCTATTATTATTATACAGCAACAAGGTACTAAACCATAAGGTATTTGCTTCAGAAAATAGATGGGAACTAACTTCAAATAAACATTTGGCATCGTAAAGGGGTTGAGAAGTGTTTTATTCTTTTTGGCGATTATGAGAATTGTAATATTTGCAGCGAATTTGATGCGAACAAGCGATGGGAATTCGCTATCGACACAGAACGTCGAGTTCCGTATCCAGAATGAGGACTTTCCCGCACTACCTGGTGCCAATCATCTGGAGAATAGGCAAACTCATGTAAGATCTTTATGTACTTCGTATTACTTCAATCTTCTGTCAACTTCGGCGTAATCGTTTTCCAAAAAGCGAGCAAGACTAGTTTATATTTTGACTGAGTAAAGTCTTCTGTTTTTATGGTTACAATTTTTACTTTTTAGCAGCATTTTATGCAGGCAGGGTGATATGCGGTTATTTTTTCGTCAGCAGTCTTTTTTCTCTTCCCATCTGCTGCAAAAAATTTGACCTCGAAGCGGGAAATTAAGTGCAATAATTACAGACGAACAACGCCGATGCATTTGCTTCAGAAACAAGGTACTCTGAGAGGTCGAACACTGAAACGAAAGCAGGTATCCAAACATTTCCGGACGGTTAGTCTTTAAGTGGTTTATATTTTAAAGCACATTAACGAAAGAAATAGAACTGAAAGCCAGCTAGGAAGGAAATTATGCATATAGCTTTATTTCCTCACTTAAGACATTCATTATTATTGAAGAGTAATGACTTTTAGATCATTACTCTTCAACGTCTTGGGTAAATGGTTGTTGGTGACTAGAGTATATTATAGTGAAGAAATCAGTGAAAAATATAATTTATATAAAACAGGATATTTATGCATTGTAATGGTTTATGATGTCATATTAAACATGAAATTCTGAGTATTTTGTCATTATTCCAAGAAGTTGTAGGCACTGTGAAGAATATCCCAGCAGGCATGTTGAGTGACCAATTTGGTATGGCTGGATTATTGACGTTTTTGCGTGCAATTGAAAGTGATCCTGCTATTGTTGCACTTGCTCTTGGTCATGATTTGACAACTCTGGGATTGAATCTGAACTCCACTGAGTAAGCTTAGTATAAGTTTTCGGTTAGCGTTTTTTCAAAAGAAATTTAATGTTGATTATTTTTCAAGATATCTGACATTAAAAACTGCCTGGAACTTAATCCAATTTATCAACCACGTCTTTATTTCTTAAAAGTAGGCATATTTCTTGGAAGTTTTTGTTTATATTTCTTGCTAGTAAGCTGTTCGTCTTTGTTCGAGCATAAAGGTTCATTTTGGAATGCTTAGACATTTTGGAATGCTGAGATGTTGAAATTTCTTTAACCATTGAAAACCTCACTGTTTTTCTTGAGATGTGAAGAAAAGGTAAGTTTTCGTCTTTTGAAATAGGAAAGAGTGCAGATAACTCTCCTTCTTGTTTTTGAGAAATCTGATTTTAACTGTGCTTCTTTGAGTTAAAATCAGATTTCTCAAAAGACTTGTAAAAGTCTGTTAGAATATCGAATCTAATATCAAAACGGAATATAGGTAGGTTCATCGCTGAGAAGTAATATCACATAAGATTTAGATGTTAGTAATTTGAAAGATTGGGTCTCAGTTTAATGAGAGACCCAATCTCGCGGCAAATTTTGTGATTTCTATCATCGGCATTGAGTTATTTACCCATTAGTTCCAGGCGAAATATTTATGCAACGTTTGGAGGACCGTGGGCAGATTATCCATGTCGGATACAGGATCTGGAAGCAAAGGCTGGTTTTTACGATTGTTTGATTAAAAATTGTTATTTTAGAATATTGAATATTTAGGATTCATCGGTATTTTGTATATAATTTCCAAGCATTTCCACATTAGAAAGATATTTTAGGTGCCGGATGAATATTTAACGAATGCTTCGATTCGAGATAAGCTGCCGAATATCAAATTGAGCAAGCTGTCGGAGGATGTGTTGTTCTACCTCTTTTATAACTGTCCAGGCGAGGTTTACCAGGTCGCCGCTGCTAGTGAGCTGTAAGTCCTAAGTTTAAACAAGTAAGGAATAATCAATTTGTCGAGATTACAAAATTGTGTGGTCATTTAATACAAATCATCAGCAATGGTGGTGTCATGTCTACCATGTACGGTCGTTGCAGGTTCTCATTTCCAATTGTTATATGATTTCATCTATTAGTAGGTTATCTGCATTCGAATGTGATTATCATTTTCTCAAATTTATAAGTTTTTGAAATGATGACTGCTATCTTTATTTAGTTAATTTATAGAGACTGACCAGTTTCAGTTTTTTGATTTTTTGCTCTTGACTTTGAGGCTATTAAATTTCGGATTTGCAGATATGAATACGTTTTTGTTTTCAGGTACAGTAGGGATTGGCGGTTTCATAAAAGTCAACGTGTATGGCTAACGCGATCACAATATGGAGGTGTCAAGGAGCAGACATCAACATATGAAAAAGGGTCCTACAATGTTTTCGATCCTGTACAATGGCGAAAAGTAAGTTGATTTCCTAACACTTGGAAATTTGCTTGACGGAAACAATTGTATTCGTTTTTTATATTGTCATGTTAAATTTCTGAACTGTTTTGGATCTACAAATAAATTCGAATTGTCTGGAGGCTAAGTTGTTTAGTACAACTGATAGTCCAACCAGCAATCAAATTAAATTACAATTTGGCACCACGTAATTCACATGGCAAATGAAGAAACTTTTACGTCAATCTTATTAGTGATCACTTAATACTTTTTAAAGTCTTAATCATTTCATTTTAGATACCGAGAGATATGACATTGGAATATAAAGAACTTGAAGAACGACCGAAATTGCCTCAGTCTTTGCAGCAGTCAGGTCAGTCACAAGTTGCGCAATCATCCTCTACAGCCTCGTCGCAAAATGGTTCATAGTTGCCAACCTTCTCAATGTTGACCAACCACTGACGTTATACGCATGCGTTCCATTTCCATCCCTTAGTCATCTCTTGTAAAAAAAAAAAGTTTGCTCTGCTGCACGCAGATTTAGAAGACTTTGTATTTTCTTGAAAAAACAGACATTCACATTTTAGAAGACTATATTTTTTTTTCAACGAAACACACTGCAAAAAAGATTAATCGTGCAGAGTCACAGACACTTAAATCACACTTATCCCCTCATACTGATCGAAGGAACAGGAAGAAGATTACGTTTGAATCCCGAAACCTTCTTGTATGTTTTCTTGCTACGTTGTTATTTGCAATAAACACTTCGCATTTGGTTTTTGTCTTGCATAATAATAAAGGAGTAAGTACAATGTTTAGTTAGAATAAAGAAAGAGAAGTATTTAGTTCCTTTGTCCCAAACTATCCATTTTATATTGATAAAGGTTCCTGAGTATCTACAACATGTACTACCTCACTTTGTATACAAAAAATCACTTTGTGTACAAAACTGCCTCTCAGTTTGTATATGAATTGACTTCTGAATGGGCAGATCTCGTTAACTTGTAAGATTCGGGTAGGTCGTTCTTAGCATCAGTATTATGAAATTAGAATATTTAAATACGTGGCATTGGAATCGATTCGTCCATTCGATTTTATGGTTCAGGATATTCTTAAAATAATTAATGTAAATGATTTTGTGATTTACCGCCATGTAGCGATCATGTGATCGACGGTTTCGTATTGTAAAATGAAAATTTCCAATAAACATTAATTGTTAAAAGTGAAATGAAGAAGTTGGAGGTATATGGAAAAATAATAAAATCATTGAAAGCAAATTTCAAGCTGATGTAGAGGAAATCATGCAATCTAAAGATTGACTGCGACAAATTAATGATGATATTATTATTTATTTGAAAATTAGAAAAAAATATTTATTTCTCAATAAAAGATATCGTTTTCTAAATATTTTTTCTTTGTTTTTGCCGGGAAACTTTTTAAAAAAAGGCAAAATAATAAAGTATATTCTTTATGCATTTTCATTGTAGATAAATAATTTTTCGAGAAGAGCGGTATTTTTTTCCTTTTTTTTTTCAGCAAGTATTCGCAAAAGATTTCTCCGAATAAATAATGCCAACAATGCATTCATTGGTTACTTTGAAAAATTGACGATTGTTGTTGTTTTTCTAATCCTTTTATTTGATTTTGCGATACCACTTATTTCTTGGTATCACCTACCGTATTATCATATAAAAAGGGTTTGTTTTATCACAAATTAATTTTGATATAATTCAAATTGATGGAATTTTTGAATTGGTTAAGGTTAGAAATCGCAGCATTATGGTTTGTTTCATTTTAATGAAGTGAAACAATCCGAGAGAGAATGAATGAGCAATTTTTTATTGCTGAAATAATTTGCCGGTTTTACAATAATTCGAATTTTACTTGTTGCATTTTTATTCTTCAAACATCATATTCAGTCGACGGTGGTTTGTAGATGAGAATAGTGGTAAATAATGAATAGTTTGTTGTTAAAATGGAATTAAAAGTATATTTGAGCAAAAACAAAAAATTGCCATCATCTTGCCTTAGTAATCGTGATCAAATGACATTTTTTGAGTGTTGCAATGATGATGATCTTTTTGGGGAGATTCAGATCATTTTAAATGCAGTTTTGGATGATCTTTCTCTGTAGGATCAGAATTATAAAGTAACAATAAAGTCTCAATGTTTGTGAACATAAAAGCAAAGAATTTTGATGCTTTCAGTGAATTCCTCGAGATATTCAAATGATGGAAGAGAATTCGGAGCAAACACTGAAGAGGACCGAATTTCAGCTGAAAAATGAGGATTTTCCAACGCTACAGAGTACATTCAAAAGCAGGCGAAAAAATAAGAAAAAGTCAGCTAAGATTGTGAATAAGCCAAATGAAATTGTAAACGAGTCAAGCGGGACTACGAGCGAGTCAAGTGAAAGTATGAGTGAGCCAAGTGGAATTATAAGTGAGCCAAGTGGAATTATGAGTGGACCAAGTGGAATTGTGAATAAGCCAAGTGAAATTGTGAATAGGACAAGCGGAATTAGGATCCCAACAACAGAGATTTCCTCTATGCAGGTTCCTCTCTCATTTGCATATTCAAAACAACGAAATGCTTCTTCTTCTTCATTCATCATTGGTGGGCCAAGTAATCAGCGAAAATTGAAAGATTACAAATTGATACAGTAATTTTTTTAAATCTTACTTCATCATCCAAAAGTTTAATTTTGATAAACTATCAAAAAAAATGAAACGAATTCTAGGTGGCTAATCCAAATGTTGGATTTATTCCTAGGCCTGGATCGTATTTCGTCGGATGTTTGCAGCCTGGACCAGGAATGAACATACCGATATATCCAGATGGTTTCTTCACTCCTTGCATTCTGTTACAAATAATTAAAATTCGAATTTTACTCGTTTGTCAATAAATATTTGTAATTATATTCAACAATTACTTTATATTATACTAATAATTTCGAGAAAATTAAAGGTACGGTGAAAAATATTCCATCAACTATGATGACTGATCAATATGGAATGCTCGGATTCTTGTCTGCCTATCGAGGAATGCAAGTTAACCCCGCACTTGCAACACTTGCTATCGGCGAAGATCCGATAAATATGGGTTTAGGCATGAATAATCAGTAAGTTTACTTATTAGAAAATTAAACTGTTGAAGTTTTCCTTTTATTTACCAATGAAATCCTGAATGATGGAGTGTAAAAGAGGTAGAAAGTTTGAAATATTCAATTCTTCTAAGGTAATTATTATTTTTTCGCTCTATTCTGATGGCAAAGTTCTTCAACTTAGAAATATCTGCTGTTTCTGCGGTAGATATTCCTTCTTGATCATTTAAATGAAACATTTTTAATTATAATAAAATACATCGAAAGCTTCCACCTGTCTTCTTTGTTTCAGGCTTATCGTACCGAATCCAAGTGGACATGGCAGGTATGTCAAATACAGTACGGCCAATATGATAACGTATTAGTTTATTAGCAAAGGAATTTAAAATAAAAGATGTGAAAAGAAACTTAAGATTTAATATTTCTATTTAGTTAATTTGACAAATTAGGCATGAATTCTAGTTAATTGTACTTGGAAACGCTTTTAAATTGAAAATTTATCATTCAGCAATTAGTTTTAGACGCGAAATTCATCTAAATTACGGAGGACCATGGGCAGAGAAGCCAAATTATTCATCGCAGGCAGATGCTAGGGTTGGCATTTGTGTTTTAAGATTATCATTTAGACATTAAGTTAGCTTATCTCTTCAGCAACTGCTAATGAATACTTACTTCATCGAGCTATAAGATCAGATGGAACGAGCTATTAGAAGCTTAACTGATATTGGATATCTGATGATAGCCATCGTAAGCCTCTTTCAGGAAGGCCTTGAGCATGATGATATCAGCGTGTTATTATGCTTACAACCCGGCAAAGCGCAACTAACCCTGCAATCGGACAGCTGTCCTTACTGTCAACATGTCTGATACTGATGATAATCATCAGTTTTTGATTCAGTTTTTGCTCTTCCTTTCTCTCCCTCTCTTTAGCTCTCCCTCTCTCTCTCT